TGCTCCTATCAGCATAATGAATGATGATTTTGGATTTATAATGTTTGACTGTGTTTATCCCATAATAATACCAACCACCAATAATAATACAATAATGTAAGTTTACTGGAGTATGAGGAATGTCATTTTAATAGGACAACTGAGTAGTCTCTTTATAATAAATACCCAAGGCTATAGCCCATAAATGGCTCAAAATCACCCTCCAATTCTTAATACAGTTTCTGATACGTATTGATGTACTTATGCTGTGTAGAAAGCTTTAGCTGATTCCGACTTGAATTTTTCGAGTTACGGCCATTTTAAGATAAGGCCAAAATTCTGAAAAATACCTAAGGCTATAGCCCATGGTTTTTTTCCAAAAAATAGCTTTAAAATTACTCCACTTTTATTACACATCAGAAAATATTGAAGGCTGGTAAGACTTTAAATTTTGGCAAATTGCACAATATTGGCTAACGGCAAATTATAGTTAAAAATTTTTTGTGGTCATGTCCCTCATAATAATGGCTAAAAATGACATTTTTATTTTGGCAAATGGCTATAAAAACACAATGTTTAGTTCCTTCCAAAATTTTCTGCTGTTTGATACTTTCAATACATGTACATTACCTTTTTAGCAGCTGTAAAAGCGACACCTGAATAAGCATATCTGTCAATAACTAGTGTTGTACCTGACTTCAAATCTCAACACATTCCAGCCCTAAGGAGAGAGAGAGAGAAATCCAATTATCCAACAATTATTGTTCCAAATTAAAATTACATTAATTTTGATGCTAAAATTAATACTCCAAAAAACAAATTAAAATGGTTAAACTTGATTTTTTTGTTACTAAAATTAACATCCTAAACCATACGATCTAATTTTAGAAACAAAATTCATTTTAGCTTGTGCTAATTTTAGTAACAAAAATCTAAAATTAGAATCCTTACTCCAGCTCCCATCGATTGGCTGAGAACAATAAATGAATGACATGATCGTCCATGTTTAAATTATTCTTCAAGTAATTATCAATCTGACCGTCCCAGTAACTGGTGCACTCCTATCTAAAGAAGAAGGGGCAGCCTCAACTCATTGTGTAAAGTCCAGAAATACACCTTTACCTGGGAAATGCATTTCTTTTGCTGATATTCCACTGGATACCAGTCTCTCCACTAGTTTCTTGCACTGTGTGCTTTTTCTTGTTCTAGTCTTCTAGACTAAACATTATTTTGCTCCTTTTTAAATAAAAATTTTATGGGCGTGTCACCACACCCATCCTTATTATTGATTAAAGATGTCTTCCATCAGAGGAGGTACTACTGGCATTAGTTATGGTGACGAGGGGCTCCCTGACTCATGGATGATGGATTACTATGAAGACTGATTGTAAGTTTAAAGAGTGTGAACTGGGGCCGGTATAGTAGTTAAAATTAGGTAAATGACAATGTTATGTATCTTTTCTATTCAT